AAACTAATACAACAATTTCGCATTAGTTAAACATTCCGGGTCTCAACTACTTGACAGAAGTTCTATTCCATTTTTTTAATCTTTCATTTTTCCTTTCTAATAAAAAAAAGTGTACTGAGTAATCTAGATCAATTATACTCACTATAGCAAAATAAGTCAGTTGCAGATTTTCACATTTTGCTGGATCCCTACATAATATAGTTTGGGGTTTTGTTTTGTTTTATTAATTTCACTTTGAAAAAGCTTCTTTCATCCCATGAATATCGCTCTGTCTCTAAAACTCAAAGCTGATTCCATCCCCATTTTAATAAGGGAAATAAACAATTGGAAAAATTCAGTCTATATTGTTAGGAAGTTTTGATTAAATATTGATTACAACTATTCTCCAGTTCTCATCAGTTTTGATTAGTTTCATTTCACTTTGTTTTTGTTAAACAAAATACTATGGAAAGCAGCTTACTTCGTCCCATGAATCTCGCTCGTTCTCGAAAGCTTAAAGCTGATTCGCTTAGATTGGCACATTCAAATAACAAAAAAAAAAAGATAATTTATAAAAATCAATCTATATTGTTACGAAAGTTCAAACTCGTATATTATTTACCGCAATGCTGGCATCATCATCCACCTGCTATTGAAAAAGAAATTACTAGCAAAGAATCGCATCGAATAAGTTTCCAGAAGCTATGAAACTTCAATGCTTTCGCTTCTCAACCTGTTAAAAGGAAACTACTTTCGTCACTTTGTCGATTTTATTTAGTGTGCGAAATATAACCATAAAGATAATAATAATCATGGAAAACAGAAAACAACTGAGGGACCATATCTAAGGTTAGTAATGTTTTCTAAGGGAAACTTGCAAAGCAATTCAAACTAAACAAGATAGTGCAATCTGATATTAGTAAAATTTTTGACACCTTCAAGCAATTCTGCAATAGATGCATGATATTTAAAATCGTGCAATATTTTGTAGCATTGAATTGTGTTCTAGACGATGCTATTTACAATTTGAGAGAGAACAACTTATCTAAGGAATGAAGTTCTCTTAAATACAAATGCTAAGATCTTATAATGCTTATTCTATGTTATTCTGTCTCTGCTACTAAAGTAAGTGAAAAAAAACTTAAGCGGTTTTTCGTTCAACATTACTTGAACTGTCAAACTGTCAAACGGTTTTCTCGATCTTTACTGAAAATATCCAGAAAATTGTAGTCTTGTTTCTAAAAATATAATAGTCAGAAAAAGTAAAATTAATAAATCTTCCCGTATTCCGTTGTTGATTTCTTAGGGTATATAAATGGACTTTTTCCGCCGCTTGATTCCACACTTTTAACATATTTTACAGCATACAAAAATTAACAGAAATAAAAAGTATATAGGTAAAATAACTGATTCTCTATACACGGCAAAGGATAGTTTTCAGTTTTAGATATATGTAACTTTAGACCAGCTACCTACTCAATCGATTACCCATTAACAACATAAATTTAACGATTCTTTATAATAATATAATATTAAAAAAATTCTTAGTAAGTGTATCCCAAAAGACCTCAATGCGCTTTAAAATCTAAAACCTTATATAAAGAATGCTATGAAATAATATTGGTCGATAAATATAAAGCACAAACACAGTTCTTTGTGCTTGTTTTTCTGGCAATATTTACAACAGCATTTTCTTCGGTTATTTTGGCATGATGAAAAGGGACTTAACGTATATTCCATGAACGATGCACAGATTCTTTAAAATGTCATCTTGATATATCTTCATTTTTGGTTAACATTTTGGGGTATAAATGTTGGAATTAATCTCAGAGCTGGTTATACATCAGTACTGAAAATTACAATTTTCTTACCTTGAAGGCCTTCTACGTGAACACAAGCTCTCGAGTTGAAAAACACCTAAAAATGTCAGAGACGCAAATCTTCAAAAATATACCTGAACGTTTCACAGAGCAATGCCTAGTGTCCTCTTCTGGCAAGCAGAAAAATGATATATTTGGATTTCTTTGCCTAAATTTCATCATCGAAGGTCAAACTCCTGCATTGTAATCCGCCATATTGAAATTATTTTCATAAGAGCCTTCGGGAAATTTGGTTAGCCTTCTTTATGAGAGAATTATTTAAAACTTAAAATGTTCTGAGCATCGAGTAGATTCCTCCAATTACGAAGCAGACTTAAAGATAGACTCTTCCACAGTCTCTCGCTCGTCCGTTCCGTCTCCACACTTAGAGACTGTAACGGTAGAATGACCGAAGGGAATTATGGGTCCCGAAAACTTGCGTGCTTTGGGAACCAAAATACTCGTCCACAGTCTCTCTCGTTTTCGCCGCCATCTTGAAAATATTGAAACGTCAGATTTTCGCTTACATTTAAAATCAAATGGTAAAAAAGATTCATTTTTCTATTTTTTGCAAGGAATTGTTTGTAATCTTTATGTTATTTATGTTTTTTGTAACTAACAAATTAACTTCGGGTAGAAAGAATGTCCTTGCTCGACGACAATAGATTAATGATTTTCTCTTTATTGCCTTATCGAAAGTGCTTTTTCTTTGCTTATATCTTGTGTTTAACATTTCTATAGGAGCCAAATTCAAGAACTGCTCAAAATTCTTCTTCAACTAACAACTCTAACTCTATAAATGGGGATGATAACGCAACTCAATCCCAGGTAAGCACTAATATTCTTGATCAAAGCAATCTCCTAAATATCTTGTAAAAATTCGTAAAAACGATGAGCCTTACCACATGTAGCAAATAGAAAATATAGCCTGAGAGGCCGGTGTAAATGGCAAATCAAGAGTAGCTGCTGTAGATGTTTACCAAGAGAGTAGCTGGTGTAGATTTTAAAGCAAGGGAGTAGCTGGTATACGGTGTCACGAGGAGCTTAAAAGGACTCGTGGTACCCCGCTGCTTTGGGGCAAATTGTTGCCCAAGTTAACAATAAGAAATGTAAGCTACAACTCTGACTGTGGTTTGACTGGGATCTCCTTTTTAACTGAGGGCGTTATATGTAGCAACACCTTATTTCGCTAACGGTCAAAAACGGCATTGTATTATAAAGCCTTGGCTTTCAACAATACGAGTTTAGCCTACACTTTATCTACTTCATCAGATTTCAGGCAAGCTACTTAAAAAAATGTCTCTAATTCTTGAGTTTACATAATTTTGGCTATAAGTATAATTGTAATTGTAATTTCAATATGTCTTAAGAGAACATAGATCCTTAAAAATATCTTTCAAGTACCAAAGATTAAATGAGATTTAGGTGACGTTATATACATCATCCAGGGAAATCCTGAACCTCCTCATGGATGTTAAAAGAAACTACGTTTGTTTTTAGGGTAAAACAAGAGTAGATGGTGTAGATGGCAAAGCAAGAGTACCTGGTGTAGATAGTAAAGCAAGATTACCTGGTGTAGATGGTAAAGCAACAGTACCTGGTGTAGCTAGTAAAGCAAGGGTACCTAGTACAGATGGCAAAGCAAGAGTAAATGTTGTAGATGGCAAAACAATACTAGATGGTGTAGATAGTAAAGCATGAGTACTTGGTGTAGATAGTAAAGCAAGAGCAGCTGATGTAGATGGTAAAGCAAGAGCAGCTG